AAGCGGTTTGCGGACAATATTCTTTTCTTCTAAGGCTCATCCGAAGAACTACAAAGAAGAATCAAAGCGCTAAATGTTCTGAACAACACCGGCATCAAAGTAGGTCTGTAAATGAATCTGACGAATACTCAGATCATACATAACAAATGTGTGATCACACAACCGATTGACGGATTTAAGTTTGAAGAGTGCCAAACTACATCTTTGTTGGACGGTTGGTTTCTGCAGCATAGAACGGAGTACTTGAAATCAACGGAATGAAAAAGACATGGAACACTTTTTGAAGAGTGATAATGTTCTAAGAAAGTGATAGATCCAAGATCATGCCTTTATGGCTGAAACGGAATTTTTCGATAAGTGCGTGCTCCTGGTGCTAAATTGTGGATGCAAAACTTCTGCCGTAAGCTGGAATTCCATTGATGAACTGCTGACTACGAAGCACAGCACGAAAGGGGGGTGTATTGGAGATGTCGAGAAAAGACAGGAAGATAAACGAATGGGTAATATAAACAGGATTCTGCGATGTCATTATCTGAATGAAGAAGTTAAAGTAGCAAGGGGCAAGATATGCTGAAAGAAGTACCGACCATCGTTGGGCCATAGAGACATTACGTTCTGTTCCAAGTGAGTACTAACGGCCGGTAGGACGATGTTTTGATCGATATCAGGATGAACTGAAGAAGTTTGCTAGATTGAGGTGAAAATGACAAAACAAAGGTCCATATCAAAAGTCTTAGAGAGACATTAATCGAGTAGTGAATCGAGAAAAGCTGATGAAGTTGCTGAAAGTTAAGTATCTTCAATTAATTATCTAGTTTAAATGCCTATAGTAGAGAAGCTTGGCGCTAGCCGATATTAAAAATCATGATATCAAGGTTTCTTTCGAACTGAAACAGATGTGGAAGGCATTTTTCAAATTCTTTCATGTGCAGCATTGGGAGTGCTGGGCTGTAGATCGAGTTAATTTGCGGAAGCCCATTCCGCTTGCATTCGAAATCTGCCTTATATTTGGCTTCGTATTTCGTTTGTTAGTGGGTTCTCATACCGCAAAAATCATTAAACTGCTTATTTATACAGAAGCTTTCTGGCTCCAACCGTACCAACTGTTGCGGGTAACAAGAAAAACTTTCGTAAATTAACCAACTTCTTGCCTTTAGATAGTCTTTGAGATACTGACTGAAATGCTTGTATTGGTCAATCTTCCGATTGACCATACTGTTTGCTTTGTGTATGAATAAGTCATTTTGTGTTGTTTTCTCTGTGTGAGAATTGGGTGTTTTCCTTCATTTGGTCAGCAAAATTTATTTCTTCGTTATACATAATTAATATTACCAGACTTCCAATGGCAGAAAGGAGAGAGATTGGCGGTCATGTTATTAATGCACTTTCCTTCTTTCCTCGGAAAGTCATGTTCATTGTTAAACTATTTTTTCAATCCAAACAGTAGAGTCCAGTATATTGGACTGTAATGGAAATTCTAATCAGTTCGGCGTCCGGAAGCAATGGTAGCTTACGGATTTTCAGCGTAATGCGTTTTAGAAACTAAGTTATTTATTCAACTGTTTGTATGTCTGCAGGTATACATTAACATATAATTTCAGGGACCAAAGTGAATGCACACTGCTTGAAAAATGAATTTGCGATAAATTCACTCAGTCCCAAGTGCCACTTAGCCTTTCGGTCACGCGGATAGCGTCGTCAACTTCCAGGCGAATGCACCACTGCTTGAGTTTTGATCATATGCATCTCGAATCTGTAGCAGTTTTCAGGGACGCATTTTCTCCTATTCATTCTCGGCCGCCTCTCGATTTTCTGTCCGTCAGTCAAAAAGAAATGGCCTCTTGGTCATGCAGTTCATCGTCACTTCTCAATCACGAAAAATAACGAATCGATTCTGTGGGGTTGCTCGACAGCTGCTGTCATCATAGCGATTTGCTGAAAACTTTTCTTACGTTGTCAACCAGTTGTTCTCTCACGTTGAGAGATTTTTTCGCGTATGTGCGTTGGAGGGCAATATAGATGATGGAAACGTCTCTGAAACTGAACTATTCGCAACGAGGAATATAACTTTCTCCGTAGTAACGATCGAATATTGCCTAATATTAATCAGAAATACCATTTCTAACGATCAAGCAAATCTCTGTTTCTCTGCCGGTAAAGCTTTTGTAGTTTTACATTGCGATGAAAGCAACAACAGAAAATAGGGCTTACCGTTGATTACATGTTTCCTGCTGACAACAGGACCTTGCGTTTTGCCCCCATCTATGCAGGAAGACGTGCCAACGACGAGGTGTTGATCAATTTATAGCTTTGTGCCTCTTTACTCGAACATTCATAACTGAAAGTCGCAGATATCAGGTGATACAGTGATGAAAACGATTAGTACCTTCTGTTCACAAGCGTTCCAATGCAAATTGCTTTGTTCCCAGAAGATGATCATAATGAATATCCCCTTATTTGCTTAGAAACGCCGAAACTTCAGTCGTTATCTTTAAATTCGGCAGGCAGTTTTACTCAGTTATACGTTTCCACGTAGGGGCTTCTCTTCATCTTTTCACGTGCATATTAGAGTTGTCCATCAATGTTCCAACTATCGGGGTATACCCTACTGTGGATTCTCGGGTAACTCTTCTCCTGTATTATCCAGGTGAGGCTAAGCCATGCAGCTGATTAAATTTATCCAAATCAAGCAGACTGTCGGACGGGCATTTGTGAACTGATAAAATTTTTCTTCTTTCTAGAATCACTGAGCAATGCCGACAATTCCAGTTGTTTTGGTTTGCCAATTTCTGTTTTAAAGCTGCGCTGATTCAAAACACCGCCCTACGATGGAGAATTCAAAAATGCTATTACATACTTGAACACCTCGTTTCCATGTTGGAAGATATTTATACAGGAGCCATGTCTATTTCCACAGTCCTCAGAGCGCTCTCTGAGTGATTCCCTATTAATTGTTAAGTCTGCCAGGGAGATGTGCTTTCGTCTTTAGTATTCAACATTTTTCTCAGCTTCTTACTCTGAAACAGTGCTGACTATTGCAAAAACGAAGGCTTCATTCTAGACGGAAGGCGCAGTTCAAGATACCCGGTTAAATATCTTGTTGATCTGGACCACGCGGATGATATTGTTCTGCTGAATAGTACGGAAAACAGGTCTTGTCACTTGACTTCAGTAGGCAACACAGCAGCAAAGCCGCCAGTTCATATATTTCGGTTATCTCATCTCCAGCGATGGCGCGATCCTGGCGAAGTTCAATCAGTGCTTTGCTTTGCCTTGGCCAGGTCGGTGTTGTTGAACGGCATGGAGACGGTTGTTCTAACGAAGGAGTAAGAGCAACAGCTGAACTGCCTTCAGCGGCTTCCATGGGAGTTAAATTGCCGGATCACGCAGTGATTTATGTTTTCTTCCTGACACAGGCGACCTCAGTAGATGTGGAGATTAACTGAACTAGGTTAACCCTGTTGGACAAGGGATTTTGAGCATAAACAATCAATTTTAGTCCTGTGCTTCTCATGTGGGAGCCGAAAGACGCAGATCCGTTGACCGAAGCCGGCATGCAACGTGAAGAAATAAGGTAGAGGTAGATGTGCTTTCGGAAAGAAATGCAGCAACCTTTATCCCGCAGCAAAAGTTTGTGTAAAGCTGCGAATACAGCGTACATTACAAACCAGTGACGATCTGCTCGTACAAAGATCTCAAGGTGGTGATCTCAAGTGACACAAAGTAATTGATTAATGCTGGAGGTCTGAGTGACAGCACACCAGTTTAAGATAAGCGACTTACTGAAGTGTCTTGTGCTCGTCACCGTCACTAACTTAAACCTAGTGCGGTTAGATCATAGGTGATCATCGTTTATCAAAGTTGAAAACTTCATACTGACTTCTCAGGCTTCATAGATTGTCAGCACTACCACAAATGACAGTACTGTTCCTTGTCTATGGCTGTCTGAGTTTGTTGATATACGCTACGCAAGTGATGAATGAACGACTGTGCAGCAAAAACTGTGAGGTTGTATGGCGCATCGTTCTGTTAATCGCCCGGATCGGTAGCATCAGTAAATAAGAGGTGGTGAAATTGACTGCATTCCAGATTATGAAAACAAAGGCGTTTGGTGGTAGCGCAAGGAACAGCTGAACCGGTGCCTGCTTGAACTTAACTACGCGGCCGTTTAATTGTACTGTTTTTGTTGAGAGTCCTGCAAGATCCAGAAAAGTGAAAACTGATTTTCTGAAACTTTTGCAGATGTCCACCTGACTATTGATGCGTCCGATTTATATGAGTGCTTATACTTATGTATTTCTAAAATTTTTCGCATATCTTACCTGCAAAGGACTGTCTGTGTGTCGGTAACAGTGCGAGTTGCATGCGCTAAAAAAGTTTGATCTACTGATTGATTAAGAATTATTGCAGTATTTTTATCCCATTTATTAACTTTTAGCTTATCTACAGTTGTACTGAAACTGTCTTCTAATTCGTTGAAAGACGTTTTTTGCGCTTCTCTTACAAATTCTTTCAGTCGACGTTTGCTTCATCACGTTTCTTTTTTCTAGCAATACACCTTCACTTTCCATGACGAAATGACTGTGTCTTCTGCTGCTCAGTTGCTGTCTAGAACTTTGTATTACAAGCGCTTTTTCCCCTATTACGTTGGAGCGCTTGTGGCAGGCATAGACGAAGAAGGTAAGATTCTAATTCACTTGAGAACTTAACTGATGGTCGTCGAATAGGTCACGGGGCAGTATATGGATACGATCCGATAGGTACGATCGAATTAGTCCCTTTCGCTTCTCAAGGAGCCGGTTCTCCTCTCATTGAACCATTTTTTGACAATCAGGTATACACGTTTCTCATGTTATTATTTTAATTTCTAGTACCTACTTGTGTTGAATGTTTTGCTGTTCTTGGTCACAATAACGTTAAAAGGCTAACAAACTTATTATAATTTCATTTTCACGTTAAAGCTGTTTCGGTGCTAATTACTTACAAAAGAGTAAGTTCCTAGGCTTTAGGATGATACAGGATATTCAGGATGATATTTTTGTTGACTTTTGTCTGCAGTGTGATACTTATGCTGCCATGTCATGTTTTGTGTATTGACCGTTCTGTGATTGTAGTACTATTTGCAACCCTATTTTTCTGTGTCATTACACAGTTGAACTTTTTACAAATTTCATTGAAACTTCCATATGAGACTAAACAACTTTTCCTGGTGCTTCAGAGCTTAGGACCGTTGTTCAGATGAATTGCTAAGTATTTGACATCGGCGTCATGCTAGCTAAAACTTAATGCTGCAACCCTAGCGAACTACGTCATTCGCGACACATTCGAATTAAATCACCATTTTTTTGTTGGTCAGAATTTTCCTTCTTTCTTCAGATTGTATCTTTTCGTTATCCTTCTCGGCTATTTTCTTTTGCAATGATTTGTGGGATCTGACTAGAATCTTACGTTAAATATAAAAATAATTTTGGACTGAAACGGCGAAAATGCACAGTGCAAAGAACTTTCTCACTCTAAACCAACTGCATTATTGCACCGCCCCTTACTTCTAGACGTCTAGAGGGCCATTTCAGCAAGCCAGGCTCCATAGTATTTCAGCGTTTGCTGTGCATATGATACAGGATCGTAACTAGTGTTGAACAATTGTATATTCAGTCAACATTGCCCTGATCTTTAGGCGAAAGAATGACAAAAGATATGGCCCTGATGTTCTTCCTGACTTTTCGAAACCGCCGTTGAAGATATCACATAAAAAATAAGTTATGACTCCAGTTTGAAACGGCTGTTGGTGTTACGTGAGAAAATCATGCTTTGTTTCTGGTGGGAATACTTTTGGATATTCCACTGACTTTCACACGTATTCGCTTGATAGATGGGCAGTTTTTAGAGTAACGGTGTTTCCTGTTTCCCTATGTAAAATTCCCAATTTATACAGTAAATGATCAGCCTTGACTAGAGTTGTATAGCGTTCAATTTCATTTGATCCATGATTTGCATCTCTTGACTGCATTTCAGATTAGTTGGCGGAACCAACCGCTGGAAACAAAAGCGCCGCTAACAAAGGAAAAGGCTCAGCAGATAATGTGTGACGCGTTTCGAGCCGTTGCTGAAAGAGAAACATCGACTGGAGACAGCATCCATCTTGTCGTGATTCAGCAAGGCGAAAAAACAGAAGAAAGCTTCGTTAAAATCAGAAATGATTAAATCTTGGTTTCAGCACGACTTACTTTTACATATAAACTGAGGTGTTGTGTGCTTCTTCTGATAACTTAAACAGATACCCTGTGCTGCTGAATTGATAGATTTCATTTTTGTGTCACTGTCACGGGGCTGGTTAGAAATTCGGCTA